TCTCTCTCTCTCTCTCTCTCTCTCTCTCTCTCTCTCTCTCTCTCTCTCTCTCTCTCTCTTTTGAACTATGCATTGGGAGATGGTTTATACTTAACCTCTGTGCTTTTATCAGAGGATACCGACTCTTCAGAGAGATGCACCTACTGCTCCTGTCTTTAGAAGTCGACCAGAGATCGAAGATGGTTTTCTCCATGGTGGTTTCTGGAAATACAATACTAAAACTTCCAATATACTTCCTTTTGCCCGTGATTCTCTGGAAAATGATGAAAGTGAACGCACTATTCAGGATGATGTTGTTATTGCTGGCCAAGATATAGCTGCAGGACTGATTAGGATGGGGATCCTTCAAAGGGTTCAATATCTCTTGGAGGTATGTCTGTCTGTTATAAGGAGCCATGCTTCTTTTTTATTCTAGCTTGTGATTGTGGGAACAACTTGTCCAATATATAAATCTGCCTCATAAATGCTGACTGCGCGTTGTGTACTGTAGTATGACATATTATCTTTTTTTAAATGCCAGACTGAGCCTTCAGCAGCTTTGGAAGAATGCCTAATTTCCATATTAATTGCGATAGCTAGGCATTCGCCAACATGTGCAGATGCAATTATGAAGTGTCAACGGCTGGTTCAAACGATCATCAACAGATTCACTAGTAAAGAGCAAATGGAGATTAGTATCTCAAAGATCAAGTCAGTTGCACTCCTGAGAGTAAGCATCAAGAATCCATGCTTGGAGCGTTTGTGTCTGAAATAAATCTATCCAAATTTTAAGTTGATTCCAACATTTAAATATTATTCTTTATTATGTGACAGATTTTGGCTCGTTCTGACAAAGAGAACTGCCTAGATTTTGTCAAGACTGGAATATTTCAAAAGATGATATGGCAATTGTATCGATATACCTCTTTTGACCAATGGGTAAAGTCTGGAAAAGAGGCTTGTAAACTTTCATCAGCTCTTCTGGTTGAACAGTTACGGTTGTGGAAGGTTTGTGTGCAACATGGGTATTGTGTATCATACTTTGCCGATTTATTTCCTGCCTTGTGCATTTGGTTGAATGTTCCTGCGTTTGGAAAGATGATTGAGAACAGTGTCCTCAGCGAATATGCTGCCATTGCCAAGGAAGCATACCTTGTCCTGGGTGCTTTAACTAGAAGACTGCCGATTTTTTATTCCCACATGCAACAATTGGACAGGGGTACTACAGAAGAAGCAGAAAACTGGTGTTGGGCCCATGTTGGTCCTATGATTGATTCTGCCCTAGAGTGGATCAGGTTAAAGAAGATACCTCTCCTATCTCGTCTAATTGAGTGGCAAAATGAGGAGAAATTGAATGGCGATATACAGGATTCAGCAGTTACTCCCTTGCTGTGGTTGATATCTTCAATTATGGACATGCTTTCTGCAGTGCTTGAAGCTGTAATCCCTGAAGATAATGCAGAGTTGCGCCATGGGAGTCTTCCATGGCTGCCAGATTTTGTCCCTAAGATTGGACTAGAAATTTTAAAAAATGGACTTATGAGTTTTTCAGGCTTAGTTAGTGCAAGCCATGATAGTTCTGCTGGCAGCGGTTCATTCCTTGAGTGTTTGTGTTATTTGAGAAAAATAAACGGNACTAGCAAGCCATGATAATTCTGCTGGCAGCGGTTCATTCCTTGAGTGTTTGTGTTATTTGAGAAAAATAAATGGACGAGAAACGTCAATAGCGTCCAGTAGTTGCCTTCAGGGATTGTTGCGAGTTGCTTGGTGTGTTGATAAGCTGATCTTACTAGCTAACAATGAGCCTCGGGATCTATTCGCCAAATATCAGAGTTTCACAAGAGAGGAAAAAACTCTTGCTGATGGGATTCTCCACTCCTCTCTGCCTGAGTTAAGAACTTTGATGACAAGTTTAGTGGAATCAAATGGTTCCAAATGGCGTCATATGAAATCAATTGAGACATTTGGTAGAGGTGGTCCGGCACCAGGAATTGGTGTAGGCTGGGGTGCCCCTGGTGGGGGTTTTTGGTCCAAACACATTTTATCAGCTCAAGTAGATGCACGATTGTTCATTTACTTGCTTGATGTTTTCCCTATCGTATCTGTCAAAGATCAGTTTACAACTGAAGGCATGAACTCTATAATACAAAAAATAAATTCTGTCATGGGAGCGTGTTTATTGCTGGGGCCAATGGATAGTTCTGCAGTAGATAAGCTGCTTGATTTCTTATTTCAAGTTCCCACTCTAAAGTACATCGATTTCAGTATACGCCAATTTCTTACTCTTAAGCAAGGTTATCAGGCTCTCGAGAGGGTGTATGAAGAAGAGGACTATTTACTGTTGAGTGATGTCTTAGCTTCTCACTTCAAGAAGAGATGGTTGTCTGCAAAACAGAAGCGTAAATCTGCTGCTGGAGATGAGCACGTATGCCGAAAGAATCCAAAAAAAGGAAATATTTTATTGGACACCATTCCCGAGGAAATTTCTACATCAAACCTTGCCAGCCAAGAGCCTAAATGTTTGGTGGCTGAGTGGGCTCACCAACGGTTGCATCTTCCCTTGCATTGGTTTCTCAGTCCACTCTCACTGCTTTGTTCTACCAGCCATGAGACTCTCGATTTTCTTAAAGTTGCAAAAGGTGGACTCTTCTTTCTCTTAGGGATTGAACTAATGTCCACCTCCCTTCCTGCTGAGTTGCGTACATCAGTTCGAAATGTGCCTATTGTATGGAAATTGCATGCGTTGTCTGCGACTTTACTTTCTGGAATGGACATTTTTGAGGAGGAAAATAGCAGGGATCTCTACAAAGCTCTGCAAGATGTCTATGGACAGCTCCTTGATAGGGAAGAAAAAGTTGATGCAAAGAAACTGAAATTTAAGACGGACATACATGAGAACTACTCCACCTTCATTGACAATCTAGTGGAGCAGTTTGCTGCAGTTTCTTATGGTGACATGATATTTGGTCGGCAAGTTGGAGTGTATCTGCATCACTTTGTTGAAGATCCTGTAAGGCTTGCTGCATGGAATGCACTGTCTAATGCTTGTGCTCTCGAGCTTTTGCCTCCTTTGGAGAAGTGCATTGCCGCAACTTGTGGATATCTTGAACCTGTCGAGGTACTGCTTACTTAAACACTATCAGCAAATTCATTGAACACTTGCCAATCACATAACATCAAGTTGTCCTTCAGTGTAGTGAAAGCTATATAAATTCCTTTTCTGTTCTATGGATGTTTGTTAATTACACAACAAATTCCAAGTAATCTAGAGTTTTATGTTGACTATTGAGTAAAACAGGGATTCTGGAAAGGCGCCCATACAGGAAAGTTTGTTTTCTGTTTAAGGATATTAATATAATATTGTTTTGATCCAGAAACAACGAGATATCCAAAATTAGATGTAAAATACATCTCCTCTCACCATCCTAATGCAAGTTTGATATGTGTTTCTCTTAGATGGATGCTCTGAGTAACTTGCTGATGATTTCGGTGACTCACTTGTGAATGTTTACTTTGACACTGATCTAGATGTGTCATTGTCTATGTGTGCTTACAGTGTTGAGTCCTACATCGGTGGTGGGATGGGGACTTGGTCTCCTTATATGGCCTTGGACAATCCTCACCTCTTGAGCTAGCTTTTGGGGTTGAGTTAACCCCAAGGTCCATTTATCGCTTCATGTTATTTATCCCCACCATGTTGGTTGGAAGTTAGGAGGAAGAAGAAATAGTCCAGAGTTATTCGTGCTCTGCCGTGAAGGGGAATCTTGGTGCAACGGTAAGTTGTCTCCTGTGACCTATCACCTATAGGTCACGGGTTCGAGCCGTGGAATCAGCCGCTTGGGGTGCGGCGCTACTCCGGACCTTGCGTGAATGCGGGATGCTTCGTGCACCGGGCTGCCCTCTTTGGGCTCTGCCTCCCTCCTTGAACTTTATATTCTGAAACAAAAAGGAAATGGGAGAAAGAGAGACAGGGAAAAGGAAAGGGAAAGGAAAAATGGTTGTTTGGGAGGGGGGCTCTTTCTGGCCATGTGACAGTCATAAAAATAACTTGTATATTATAGATGGTTAATAACGGGCGCACAAAATTTTTAGTACTTGTGTTAGTTGTTCAGGATGTCCTCATATATAAATCCAGATAGTAATTAATCTTGTCCAGTCACAAGATACTGATGCCTAAGAACAAGGCAGGATGGCAACAAAGTGTTACAAGGTAGAAGGGAACAACAACAACAACAACAACTCACTATAATCCCACTAGTGGGGTGTGGGGAGGGTAGTGTGTACGCAGACCTTACCCCTACCCTGGGGTAGAGAGGCTGTTTCCAATAGACCCTCGGCTCCCTCCCTCCAAGATCTCCCCACCTTGCTCTTGGCGTGACTCGAACTCACAACCTCTTGGTTGGAAGTGGAGGGTGCTCACCACTAGAGCAACCCACTCTTGTCCAAGGTAGAAGGGAAGGTTATTAGAAATATACATTGTAACTATGACATTACTAAACATTGTTTGGGAAAGAGTGAATTGAGAGAGATTGATTCGTGCAGTTCAATTTTTGTAGGATTGGGCAAGTTGAGTTGAGGAAAGCTCTTACAAAATTTCTGCTCTAGACTAAGAATTAGTTAATACTTTGCTAACTTGCGGATAATTAATACTTTGATGCAGGATGACGAGAGGATGTTGGAAGCTTACTGTAAATCATGGGTTTCGGGAGCTCTAGACAAAGCAGCAAGTCGAGGATCTGCCTCGTTCACTTTGGCCTTGCACCATCTGTCATCATTTATTTTCCAGACTTGCTCTGGGAATATGCTTCCTTTGCGAAACAAGCTTGCCAAATCTCTGCTACGAGACTACTCCCGTAAGAAGCAACATGAGGTATGCAAATTAGTGCCAATTGGTGACTTGCTAACTGCTTAGTTAAACCCTTATTGTTTTGTCAAAGGCTCGTTTTGAGGCGTGATTAGCAGGATGTGTGCTTTCAGCTGCTTACATGGCGCATTAGTGAATATGTCAAGGCTCTAAAGCGTTGCCTTAGCAAATTCCCACCAACCAACAATTTGTTTTTATTTTCATATTTATAAATAAGGTTAATTTATAAGGCTTATGTCCCCTATCTTGAAGAGGACGTTGCTAACAGATAGATAAAGCCGGTAAAAAGATGTACCACTAATCCTAAAGGGAAGAATTATGGATGCATTATATTATTAACAGGAAATTAGAAATTTAAATTAAGCAAACTTACTCACCTTCATTTAAAAACTTAAATGCATCTCTGTATCTGATTCAGAATTTTAAAATGGTTTCTGAACTCGATTGACATGGTTTATCCTCTGTATAAACTTAAATTCAGTTTTTCTAATTCCTTGGTACATATAATTGTAGCTTACTTTATAGTTATTCTTCTTGCACTATGCATTATCATTTTTTCTTCATTTTGTGGCATTATTCACTAACAATCGTACTTCAATTGAGCTTTGTGCATAAGCCTAGATAGAACTTGATGCTTTCCCGTGCTTTTTTGCCTTTAACAATGCTCCTGTTCGCTGATTTGATTTGCCTTGTAAGTTTGTTTTCATGCACATTAAAGTATAAGTGTTTATGAAATTTTACAATTCTACATCCATGCTTTCTTTCTTTCCTTGACTCAACTAGGTAACCTGATAGCTCTACTAAAGCTGGTCTTGAAGTGCATTTTCTGGTTTTATGATTCTATTCGGAGATGTTTCGTTCATACTTTTGTTTTATCCCCAATTACAGAGCCTTTTTGTTAACTTACTGGAGTACCAAAGGCCAGACACCAGATCTGAGATGCCCCAGCACAGTTGCAATGTGGTAAATAGATTACAGATTTTGAAAGAAGCTTGTGAAGGAAATTCCTCATTGTTGAGTGAGGTTGAGAAGCTCAGCTCTGTGATTATAAGGAAACAGCATGTGGGAAGCTAAAATTTTCTACATCATGGAATCTTATAACCAGTGATGTATATATGAATTTATCTTGATATATAGGAGATTAATCTCTGTACATCTTCCTTTAATTTTATTTTACCTTACAAAAGAAGGTTCTGTACATCTTCCTTTTCTCAAACTATTGTTGAAGGCGTGTTTGAGGCACATCTAAGCTTTGGTAGAAATCCAGGTTGAGCATTTCGCCTCGCTTTGAAGTGTAAGGAACCATCGTGCATCTCATCCAGTAGGTGTTGTCTACGAGAGGACAACACTAGATAGTAAATATAGTTGGCAAGATTATGAATGAATTTGTCAGTCACCAGTCACCGTGTGACCTAGTGGTCAATAAAGTGGGAGGAGAATCATGAGGTCTTTCGGGTTCAAATTTTAGTGGAGACAAAAAATATTGCCTCCCTTCCCAATTATGTAATGGTATTTGATTAGGCACAAAGTTTAAGAAAGGAAGAAAGATTTTTTAAACTTTTGGTTTAAAATGAGTTATAGATATTTGTATGATTATAAATCATTTCATTAAGGGTAAAGTGAGGTTTTAAAGTAAAATTGTTATTAAATATAGAAATGTATCATTTTTTTTGGACGGACTAAAAAGAAAAAAGTGTTCCATAAATTGAGATGCAAAGAATAGTTGATTTTTGTCCGTCTGCCTATACTTTGGTGGGTAGAATTATTTGATATTTGTATTGGTGGGAAACATCCAGCAGCTACACCTGGTGAAATAGTCAAATTGTGTGCAAGTTAATCCGGACACCATCATAAAAGAAAAAATTGAAATTGTCAGTCATATTGATTATGTATTTATTCGAATGAAATATGTCAAACCTTGTTGGTTACTATTTAAATTAACGTGATTATGGGCGCTCAATGTTATCTTCTTGATGTTCTAAGTAGATGGTACACCATAGTTCATGAGATACGTGTCTCCATCAATCCATTTCCAAGTAACGACAAACTTGATGTTTTGCATTCTTTTTCCAGTAAGATATTGCCAACTAAATGTCATTAGTTGGTACTATTTATTTTGTTGTGATTAGTGAGAAAACATGTTAAGTGAGATTTGGGTCAATTTTCTTGGGTGAGGGGTCATTGAGTTTGGCCGATATTGATCAAAATGACGTGAATGTGTAATGCACGACGATAAAGAATTTAAGTTATATATATATATATGGTACGAATGAATTCTTCACTTAGAATTTAACCGGTTGGTTTGCTTTATTTTTACACTACCAGATCAAGTTTGATATATGGTCGAGTTACATGTTTTTGCATGTTAAATCAAAAATTAAACTCAATCATTGGGAACATACACCTTGCAACAAGACTATATTCCAACTACTAGCCAGTGTAAGGTGTAATTAAGAGGGTGTTCGGATTGGCTTTTAAGCTGGTCAAATCAGCTTTTAAGTTTTTTTTTGATTTTTTAAGTGTTTACAAACTCAAAAAGTATTTAAAATAAGTTAAAAACTGCTTAAAGTAAGCCAAAAACAATAAGCTAGGCAATCTAACTTATTATTTTTTGACTTAAAAGCTATTTTGGCTGAAAAGTCACTTTGTTTTAGCCAATCCAAACGGGCTCTAATTCTATAAATAGCTGAATCACTTAGCTTGCACCACTAAATAGCAAATCTTTTAGCTTTAATTTGTCACAAGAATTGGTATATTATGGGGGAAGAAACAAATGGATCAGTAGCAAGAATCCATGAAGGAGACAAAGCTGAGTCTCAAGCTCAAGAAGATATATGGAAGTACACATTTGGTTTCACTGAAATGGCTGCAGTAAAATGTGCTATTGAGTTGGGAATACCTGATTTCTTAGAAAACCATCAAAAACCCATCACCTTAAATCAACTGTCGTCTGCACTTGGCTGCTCTTCTTCTAATTTTCTCTACCGCATCCTGAGGTTCTTGATTAACAGGGGAATATTCAAAGAGGAATCCACAGGACATGGCGAAATAGGTTATGTCCAAACACCTCTTTCTCGTTTGCTGAGGAGAGATGGAGGAAATAGTATGGCTGCTCTTGTCCTACTTGAAGCTAGCCCAGTGATGCTTGCGCCATGGCATTTTTTGAATGCCCGCGTTTTGGCAAAAGGTGAGAATAATGTTGAATTGTATGATCATTTTATCTAGAGGTGGCAAATGGATTTGGACGGGGAATCAATAAGCGGATCATGATCCAACCCGTATTATAATGAGTTGAGTTAAAATAATATCTTGCCATAACTCAACTCGCCTAATATAATCCAACCTCACATCTTTTTTATTTTGCTTTTTGGAAAGAAAAAATATATATATGAAAGCTAATGGAGTACTATATTTTTCTTAAATTGTTAGTTTAAGTTCTCTAAATTTGATTTGGTATATCTGAGTTCCCATCCTTACCCAATTAAATAAATTGTCTATTTGTGCTTGAGTTGTACTTGAACCCATTGGATTACACTGTTTGGTCTGTCTTGCTCAATGATTTGATGGGTCATTTCGAATTCAATTAGTCGATGGAGTTAAGTTAACAAACGGATTATATTAATAAAAATTGGTTGATTTTGCCACCCCCCAATTTTAATATTTTACCATTTCATCTAAAAGATGACGTTATTAAAGAAACAAATTTTTATATTACTTGTATCTCAACAGGGAATACTGCAGCATTTAGTGCAGTTCATGGAAAGGATGTATGGGAGTATGCAGAAACCAATCCAGAGCACAGCAAGCTGATCAACGACGCCATGGCGTGCCATGCACGAGTGGCAATACGTGCGATCATCGATAATTGTCCAGAAATATTCAAAGGGATAGAGACTTTAGTTGATGTTGGTGGAGGTGATGGAACAACTATTAGTCTGTTGGTGAAAACATTTCCTTGGATTAGAGGGATTAATTTTGATCTTCCTCATGTTGTCTCTGTTGCTCTGCCTTGTCATGGTGTTCGACATGTTGAGGGGAATATGTTTGATTCTATTCCCAAAGCAGATGCTGCTTTCCTCATGGTAAGTAGGGCAAATAGGGAATTTACTTTTTACTTTCATAATCGGTATACATAAATTATACACATTTACCGTCTATGATGTTGGGTTGACGGCTATTTAATTAGGTTAATTCTTTATGATTATAGTATGATATATATAGTGAGATAATTAAGCCGTATATGGATCCTATATGCTAAAATCACCATTACAGCAAGTTAAGCTACCCGTATATATATGGTTACTATTTTTAAAAGATTTACTACGTTTTTGACAAATAATTAAGTGAATGTACCTAAGTTTTCCAATTCCTTATATGCATATTTTAACGTTCTCTATTTCAATTTGTTTTCTGGATCTTCCTTGTGGTAAATATCAGTCAGTCTTGCATGATTGGAGTGACGAGAAATGTATTCAAATCTTGAAAAATTGCATAAAGATTATCCCAAAAGACACAGGAAAAGTGATAATTGTGGAGGTAGTGCTTGAGAAAGAACGAGGAGGAAATGAAAAGCTCAAAGATGTTGGTTTTATGCTGGATATGGTAATGATGGCTCACACAACAAATGGAAAAGAAAGAACTGCCAAAGAATGGGCTCATATTTTGACTGCAGCTGGATTCAATAGGCATTGTATTAAGCACATCAACGCAATTGCATCTGTTATTTTGGCTTATCCTTGAGCTGTATCAGTTCTATTACAATTTCTGTTTCAATGTTTTTCCAGTTCTTAAGCTTGTAGTTTGGTTTGTCCTTTTAATAATTGGTTTGTTTTTTCTATTTAAGCTGTATCATATATGTAAAAATACATGTGCACTCTTGCTATATTAATAGATTGAAGCAAACCTGTCTTATGACACTGTCCATAGTCACGGAGTAGCTTTTACCATATCGCTTAGACGCTTACCATATTGCACATTCAAGCTCACTTAGCATATTCTAAAGTTACCAGCTTATGATCGTTATAGAAAATTAAAGTGACTTGAATGTATAATTAATTTTATTATACTATCAGCGTATAAAAAAGCTAAATTCTAATGATTGTTTGATTGACCGCACAATTCTAAGAATAATTTGGCCATAAAACTTTTTCATAACTAATAAAATGGGTTGACACAAAAAGCACTGATTTATTTATCGTCGCATAACTAATACAATTTTGATTTTTCCTATAATTCTTTTCGCATAATTAATAAACCTTAATTCTGCTTGCGACATTAACTTTTACAAAGATAGTAGTTTGTTTTATAAACAGTATATTAATTATAATCATGAGAATTTGAGTATTATTCTATGTGCGAGAAGAGATAGAAATAAAAAGTATTTAAAGATAAATATGCTCCTAAAGTAATTTAGGATAACAACCAATGTATCATTCACTTTATAATAGTTCGTACATTCATCAGCGGTGGCTCCAAATATTATCACCAAAAATTAATATGTTACTCATTATTTTTAAATATTCTTAACAAAATTTTTATTGTCGCCACCACCACTAATCATCACATAACCTTATATTCCTATATAATTAGTTTGTAGGCCAGATTTGGCACACGCTGGATTTTGTAATGCGATGATTAGGAGCCCGTTTGGATTAGCTAGAAAAAAGTAGCTTTTAAGTACTGAAACTTGTTTTATAAACAAGCAATTATTTGTTTGGATAAAAGTGATGAAACTTTAAAAAAGTCATTGAAGTGTAACAAGTGTTGGTAAGAACTTTTTTCTGTTAAAAAGACATAAATATCCTTAAAGCTGTTAACATTATAAAGGAGCTGACTACTACAATATATTTAATTCACAATTAATGTAAATACAAATAATTTGTATTTTAATTTAATTTTAATTTAAATAATTACTTAAGATAATTTTTACAAATATAATTCTTGAACGCTCATTTTTCACCACTTTCAATCAAGTAAACTTCCATAAAAATAAAACGAGCTCATTGTCCTCTAAAAATAAGAAAAAGAAATAACACTTCTTGTTCTGAAGCATCTATCATGGAATGATAGACATTGACGTGGGGTGGGGGATGCGGCTGACTATTCAACTCAATATTATCGACACTCTCCATATAATTTTTGTTTTTTCATAAGAATACAAAACAAATTCTAATGTTTGGACACTAGGAAAAGAAGAAAAGAATATTCCACTGTAATGTGTTTAGCTTGTACAGAAGAAAAATAATTTGTTCCTTTAACTAATAAAGATTCAGAATATAAAATCAATGCATCAAATTTCCAGAACACTGATTTCTCAAATTCTATAGAAAGTTAGGTCATTATATGCATATTTCAAGAGAACGAAACAAAATAAAATTTCTCAATTGGAATGTAAAACAATAAATATTAGTGTTTTAAAAGATTCATACAACTACAAGCATCAAGCTTCACAAATTTCATTAGCAATCAAATCACGAAGACCCATCCAAACGAGATCACTTTATTTTTTCACATTTTTCGCATTTATATTGTTATTAGCTCTCAAAGATGTACCAACATCAGGATCAACAGATAGAGTATATCTCTCATTCTCAACTGCTCGGAATGCATCATCCACATTGCATTTCTTTCTAATATAGTTATGAATGGCCATAGTAGCAAGTGCGATGTCTCTTTGAGTGTTAATGTGATAGAAAGGCATGTCTCGCAAAATAGACCATCTTGCTTTCCAAACCCCAAATATGCGCTCTACAATATTTCTACAAGAAGAATGTAAATAGTTAAAATTTTCAATTCGTCCTCTTGGTTCTCGCAATTTTCTTATTACACCGGGGCGGAATTGTGCTAGGTGATATCTCATATTATCTCCTTTGTATGGAGCCATATATCCCTTCATATGCGGATATCCTGCATCAACTAGATAATACTTATTTCCAATTGGACGTGAAAAGTTGAGTTCTGGTCTACGAAGGGCCTCACCAAATATACGACTATCGTGAGCTGCTCCTTCCCACCCAGCCCATGCAAATATAAAATACATATTAAAATCTACGACATCAAGAATATTTTGAGTCGGATAACCTTTACGTCCAATATATGGTTGTGATGACCCAACATATCATCTTTAAATTTAATAATTAATTCTATATTCTAATACCTCAAAAAGTACTATTTATCCCTCCTCGACTTGCGTACGCAGTCCATAAAATTTTCCGGAAAGTTTTCAGTTGAAAAATGGATTAAAATGTGAATTAGAGCTTTAAAACTCAACTGAGTTGACTTTGGTCAATATTTTGAGCAAACGGACTCGGATAAGTATTTTGACAGTTCCGGTAGGTCCGTATCGTTATTTGGGATTTAGACGTATGCCCGAAATCAAATTCCGAGGTCCCTAGCCCGAGATATAGAATTTTGATGAAAAATTTAAAGTTTAAGTTTAAATAGTGAACGGATGTCGAATTATGTGCAAATGACCCCGGAATAGAATTTTGATGATTCCAACAGCTCCGTATGGTAATTTTGGATTTAGGAGCGTGATCGAAATTTTATTTGAAAGTCCGTAGTAAAATTAGGTTTGAAGTGGCTAAAATAGGAATTTAAAGTTTGGAAGTTTAACCGGGGAGTTGACTTTTTGATATCGGGCTCGAAATTCAGTTCTGAAATTTTTTACAGATCTGTTATATCATTTATGACTTATGTGTAAAATTTGAAGTCATTTTGATAGGTTTCGACATCGAATGTAGAAGTTGGAAATTCTAAGTTTCATTAAGATTGAATTGAAGCATGATTCGTGATTTTAGCGTTGTTTGATGTGATTTGAGGTTTCAAATAAGTTCGTATGATATTTTAGGATTTGTTGGTATTTGGATTGAGGTCCCGAGGGCCTCGGGTGAGTTTCGGATGGTTAACGAATCAAAAGCGGGACTTAGCTGCTGCAATTTTTCTGCTGGAAATGCTGTAAAAAATCGGGCTGCTGTCAAAATCGAGGTCCGTGACAAAATCGAGGTACATGACAAATCGAGGTCCATAACAAATCGAGGTCTATAACAAATCGAGGTCCCTTACAAATCGAGGTCCATAACAAATCGAGGTCCATGACAAATCGAGGT